ATTGGCATGTTCTCTCTTAAAGCATTAATGTTAATGATTTAATTTCTATCAATATATTTCCTTTCCCATCTTGATTTTTTTTTGTTCTAATTATCAAAATTATCATGAAGACCATATCTCATAAAGTAGCTTAGACCAGCAGAGGGACACAAGGAGGGGTTTGCCTCTCATTTTCATAACCTCTCTTGAAAATCTTCAGGGCTTCTTTTCTTGTCCTTTGATTTACGTGCCAAACAGGAATCTCTCTAATCACAAAACAAAACCACAGAGGCATTTTTTTGAGAGTTTTACGCCTCAATAAGTAATTTGCAGGGGGGAGGGAAAGAATTCATTAGGCCAAGGAACATGAAATGTATCAGAGGTTAAAGTAAAATGCAAGATGTGATGCCTGCTGCTTCTTTCTTGTGCATCAGCAGCTGTGAAGGATAATTCCCGGGTGGGGCTGTGTCTTCACCATGAAAGAAAATAGAGATCCTCCTAACTAGGGCTACACTGGAAGGGTCTCAGACTGGCTCCAGACATTAAAAGTTGCATCTGATTCTCAACAGGCTATTGAAGACTGCCTCCCCCAGACACCGCACCATCGACATCTCCTTCCTCAGCAGCTCCTTCTCCTCCAGCTCTTTCAAACCCAAAAATCTTTGGCCTGGGCCCTGACTCTACCCTCACACTTGAAACTTAATGTTACTGTCCAGAGGGGAAACTAGGTGTTGTCCTGCTATCCCCTAGACACTGGCTGGGGCTTAAGATAATCCTTGCTTGGGACTTGACTTTCCAGCAACAACAAATCAGGAAAAAAGACAGACAGACAAAACAGTGAAGCTGCAAATCTTGACCATTCCCTTTAAGCAAAGTGGTTCCCGGACAGCCTGTGACGACCTCTCATCCCAAACCCTGAGTACTTTTGACCACGAGCATCTCCCGGCCCTTCAACATGCTGGGATGAGCAGGAGTCCCACAGGGTCCCTCTGCAGTGCCTCACATGGTCACCCCGCTTCAGTAGCCTGCTGA